ATGGTACTCCTAATATGTTTATTTATTTATGTATTTATTTTTAACAACTCCATCCCATAAAATGAAGTTTAGGATAGAAAGAGAATAAAATGTGTATTGAAAAACTACTTAATTAAGATCAATTATTGTTTCTTAATATAAAATGGGGTTAGATTAGATATCCACATTGAGATGCCAACCAATTCTCCGATGCTTAGAAAGACATTCAAGCTCGAATTGCATACTCCACCAATGTGGGATTTCAGTATTCTCTGATATAATCAGAAGTTCAGAACCCCATTTGTTAAACTAGTCCAAAGAAGCTGCTATATATTTCACCTGAACAAGTTACTGGAGAGGTTGATCCCTCTTGGGGTGTCAATTGAAGGTGATTTCTGAAGCCTAATTTGCTCTCTGAACTTGGCTATGAATTCCCCTGCTTTCTTATCGACCTCAAAAACTTCATTCCCGACATCTCCTGCATTTTCAGATGCAGCTTCTTCATTAGACATTACTTCAATATTCTCATCCACACTCTCTGAGTCCTCTCCAGACTCTAAAGCAGAAGCAGTGTTCTCACAACATTCTTGTTTGTCCATGTTTTGATATCCAGAGGATGTAGTCTTTGGCATGTGAGGACTACCACTGAGAGTTTGCCAACTGAAGCCTGCTGGTGACAGATTATCGAGTCCTCCAGTCTTTGGCTCACTTTTATCCACATGAACTGCTTCAACTTCATCAATTCTGCTGGCTGCCCTTTTCCTTGAATGGCTTTCACGCTTCTCCCCAGTTGCTTTAGCCTCACTTCTAAGCCCACTAGCTCTAAAAGTCCTAACAGATTTTCCTCTTGATAAAAGCTTTGAGGGGCCTGCAGGTTTTGTATCCAAATCTGGAGAATCATCCATTTTGCTGCCACAGAATTCCTTCAAGTCATCCTCAAAGCGCCTGCTTGCTCGGTTATCTAACACTGGGCCACAACTGTATTGCCTTGTATGTAATGCATTTGATGAAGCTTTACCATGCACTTGTGTTGGTAATGATGGTGAAGCAGGAGGAAAAGACTGGCCAACATTGGTCAAGATCAAGAAAAACAAGAAGGAAGAAGCCATACAATCGACATAATAGAAGAGAAGATTAAGAAATCTACAATTGGAACAACAA